CAAAGAGAGTATTGCTTAACTGTTTTACCACGCCTTTTGAAATATCCTGCCAGTTTTGCTTCGGACTTAATGTCCTCTTTCCGCAGTTGAAGTCAAGAGATCCTCTCCTTTCCCCTTCAAAATTAAAAAATATTTTCTAATAATTTGTATAACTCCTTTATTTCGGTATATTATTATCATAAATTTTTTCGTTTTGCAAAAACTCTTGTTTGGCTCACTGGGTGAAACATTTTGGTCAGTATATTTATAATGCCAAAATGCACTATATATGAAAGGGAAAAAAATTATTGAAAACATATTTGTAACGCATCAGTAAACATTTTATTGCTTCGCCAGCCCATTCAGCCCTCGACTGCAAAAAGGCAGTGCTAGAAGGGCCATGAATATGGGAAAGCATTTGCGGCTTGTCAGAAAGGGAATTGTCATGGCATTTTGTGTGACACCTTATCTGCGCACGCATATAACACTTGTTGTAGATGGTGTGGAAATATTCATGTATAGTAGACATGTCTCTCTAACGAGTCGTCATTTCAAAACTTGTGAAAATAATAAAAGGCAATGTGCGAAAATAACCCAGACATTGTAGATAAGTGTAAATATATAAGCGAGATTTTTTCAATTCATCGAAAACTTATAAAAATATTTTGAATTTTTTCATTGGATGGCATTTGTTGGTGCATAGGTTGGGTCCTTTTTGTAATGTAAAAGTAGTGGATTGCTTTGTATGCCAGCAGCTAGAGCAGCGATTGTTTCCTCCGTTCGAACTGAATGGTTTCGATGGCTATTAAAAGCCCGTAAATTCCAAAACGAGTTTGATCATCGGTAAGCCAAACCCATTGTTATACTCTCGCAACAAAGTTGCTAAGGAGAGTAATATAGGTTTGTTCATATAACGGTTGTTTGTAAGTCCTAAAACTAAAAGAGTAAGTTATAGGGTTATATATACCAAAGTGATCAGGGTGACGAGTAGAGTTGGTCCGTCCGTCTGTCCGTCCGTCCGCGCAAGCTGTAACTTCAGTAAAAATTGAGATATCATGATGCAGCGTGGTACACGTATATCTTGGCTTCATAAGAAGGCTAAGTTCGAAGATAGGCAAAATCGGCCCACTGCCACGCCCACAAAATGGCGCAAACCGAAAACCTATAAAGTGTCATAACTAAGCCATAAATAAAGATATTAAAGTGAAATTTGGCACAAAGGATCGCATTAGGGAGGGGTTTTTTGTACATATCTCGGAAACTACTGTAGCTATATAAACCAAACAGTATAGAGTCGTTTCCTTCAGGCATTTCCATATTATACAGTTCAAAAACGGAAGAAGTCGGATAATAACCACGCCCACCTCCCATACAAAGGTTATGTTGAAAATCACTAAAAGTCTGTTAACCGACTAACGAAAAACGTCGGTTCACAACCACGCCTTCTTCCAATATAACGCTATTTTGATTTCCATGTGATGCCTTCTTACTGCCTTACACAAATACGGTATTTGAGCTGAGGTATCCCTTGTGGAAAAGTTGTCGTAATCGGACTATAACTTTTCAATGCAATTAAAATAAATGAAAATACAATTCAATACTCAAAGTACACAAATTGATCTAATCTAATTAATTTACAGCAAAATAAAAAAATATGTAAATGACGAATAATGAAATCTCGATTATCACTTTATCATGCGAGAGTATAAAATGTTCGGTGACACCCGAACTTAGCCCTTCCTTACTTGTTTCAATATGGAATTCTATGGTTTGACTGTTAATATATATGTACTTACTTATGGATCAACGGAAATGCGTAGTTTTGCTGTTGTAAGGGTTTTGAAAAGCTCACAAGTGCTATCACCTATATTTGATGATTTTATAAATCTCTTTTGAAGTAGTTTTCACGAATTGAATCGCAACCACGAGACGGCGACGCAGTGACTGCAAGTAAGAAAAATTTTTAGTAGTGCTAACTGAAGTTTTTTTTTTAAGAACTGTTAGATTGGGATTTAGCATAACCAGTTTTATATATATACATATTTATAAAATGTTGCAAAATTTTTCGTGAAACTCCTTATTGTGATTTCTACATATAATGACAAAAGTAAGCATTTCATAAAAAAATCAACACCATCCAATACGCTTTTGCCTTTCTGAAATAAAATGACAACATAAGCATTTCGAATTAAGATTCTTAAACGGTGCAAGAAACATTTGTTTTCCTTCACAAAAGAATGCACAGCGAAACCCATACATCTGAGTTGAAATAACATTTACATAACGGAGCGTATGTGCCGCTTAAATACGCTGGGATTTGTGTAATGCGAAAGCGCGTCTTTGCCATTTTATTTATTTTTTTGCCTTATTCGCCTTTCGTGCCACAATGTGTATATGTACATATGTGTGTGTGTGTGTGCATATATATACTAAGTAACATAACAAACTTTGGCCGAAATCGCTATAACACTTTTCAAGTGTTTTTTAATACCCGCAATGCATCCGCACATACCCTCATACCCACATACACACACACACACGCATTAACACACACATAATGGCGTTTGCTTAATGCTATTTGCCGTTTGAATGCTATGAGCACATTACCCACCTCACATGGCAGTCGCTAATATGAATTTCTGTTAAATCTAACACATAACAGTGTGGCCATGTGTGTGTGTGTGTGTGTGTGTGTGCTTTAAAGTGTTATATTCATGGCGGGTATTCGCAACTTCCATGACCCGCTTTCCGCAACCTTAACACACTAAATATGTGCGACCCTGCTGCCGAGCTGATGCCCTTCGGGAGCATCTTAAGCCACGGCGTGGCAGTGGTTTGACTTTGACGTAGTGCACCCAATATATGTATACATATATATATATACATGTATATATGTATACATGTAGCGTTGACGCGCCAAGTGAGTAACTCGTTGCGGTAATTTACACATTTTGTTTGCTTGCTGTTGTTGTTGTAGTTTTTTTTCCTGCTGATTGCTTTAGAAAACCGTTGCTTCAAATGTCGCATAAATGTTTGCCTTTACGAGTCATTAGCAGTAGTTCTATGCTGCTATATGTTGGGTATTAAGTTTTAGTGCTGCGTTCTTATTGTCGTTGATTTTTGCTCATGTGATGCTTCGAGTGGAATTTAATTTGACGGCATTAATGTTTAAGTATTTTTATTTCCTTCACGAGATTGCACTCTGCACAGAAGACGCAGTAAAAACAAACATATTTTTCTAGAGTATAAGTAATGCAACAATGTCATATTCCACTACTAGTGGGTGGACGTAGAGCTCAGATTCTAAAATTGTAGAACGTATCAAATATTCTAACCTATTCCAGATCTTTAATTATTCCATATAGTCCGAAGTTAGGTTAGGTCGTAGGGCTTATTCTTACAGCAAAGTTACGAGCCGTCGCAGCATTAGTGCAGTTTGCTATTGATCGATGTTATTTTCGAGCGTACACGACGAGATTTGAACCGCAAATGGATAGCTTCATTTCAAACTTGCCTCTAACTAATATCTTACAACTAATAAGACAAACGTTTGTCTCTATACTGAATCAAATTCTCGTCTTAGTTAACTCACTCCACCTCAACAGATATTGGTAATGTATGAGATGACTGTTCGTAGAAAAGTACAAAAATCTATTGCCTTACTCATCTTGCTTCTCAGCTTAGGCGGTTTCTAAGCCAACTTGTCTCATCTGAAATTAGTATGCCAAACAAAATGCTTCTTAAGGGGTTTATACATGGGTTTCATCGGGTAAGACTGCCTTTATTCAAAATTTTTTTCTCATATAAAATATTAAATATAATTGTTTAGTAGAATTTTTTATTGTTACAAACATGCACTATTAACAAAGCAATTCTGAAATTTTTGGACAAAAATATCTTACACTCGGCCTTTGCGACGTCACTTGCGGTGACCCTTAGGAAAAAAAATGCGCCCGCGTTGGCAGGATAAAACGCTAACTTAGAACTTGGACAAAGGAAAAAAACTGAAACTTAGATTTTTGGCAGACATTTTTACAAAAAATTTAAATTTCGTGACACTTTTCTTTCAATTAGTTGTAAAAAAATACTTCATCCAAGTCTTTAAGAATTGTATCTCAAGGACCTGTTGAAAACTTTATAAAGATCGGTTGAGTAGTTCTCGATAAATCTTGCCAACCGATTTCAAAGACACAGTTTCGAGAAAAATGGCGTATTTAGCCTTGCGATCCTCGAGTATCTCCAAAACTATTACTCGATCAACTTAAAAATTTATTTATTATTTAAATATTCTAAAGGTGTTGTAGAATTTAAGAAAACAATAATAATTTTATTAGGCAAATTATATAATTATAGAAATATTTTTTAATTTGGTTTCGATTGTCCAGCTTGGAAAGGCACATCCTTTAATTTTCAGCAAACAAAGTAGTTTTCATATTTATACTCTGAATAGAGTATCATAAGCTTGCCACGAAGTTTGTATCACCAGAAGGTTACTTCGGAGACACTATTAAGTATACTATATATAAATGACGTTACGAACTCTCTGTCGGTCAGTTTGTATGTATGCGAATTAGTATCCTTGGTTTTGAGACATTGATCTAAAATTTTTCACACGTCCTCTTCCTCCCGAAAGAGCTGCTCATATGTCAATCGCTGGTATCGAACCACCATAGCTATCATACAAACTTAACAAGATATCTTCCCGAAATTAAGCATAGATTAATATTCAACGAACCGCTACAATCACATATTGTTCAGATCTGACCATTATAACATATGATCTAAGCAATGCAGCTGTGAAGAATATTATTGTTTCGATGCAGCCGAAATAACTTTTTCGTTTGTTATTATTATTAATTTCACCTTTTTTATTCTTAACTACTTGAAATGGTAAATGGGCCTTAAAAGTGCTAACAAACATTTCCTTCTGTTAATATAACATTATTATTCGCTTTATAACTAAATGGTCATATATTCACCTTTTTTGCTTTCAGTTTTTCAAACCTCCTTGTATGGAAAAATACATATATTACATTGCATATACATACGTATAAACGATTAATATAATAAAGAGCACAACGCAAAGAAAAATATCAAGTCATACCTTATTATCTGGCAACGCCGTTGAGAGCTCTTTCATTTGGCACCTCAATCGTCAAAGTAGCTGCTAATGTAGTAAATTTGGAAACAAAACAACATTTCAATGAGAGCAACAACTACCGTAATTCATATGCAAATGCATTACACCTTCGTTATGATAGCGAAGGAAAGCCTTCCCCTCATTCATACTCTGACACATACAACAATCACCACAGCATCAATGTTGGCGTGGGGTACTCTCCACACTCACTTCACATTCGCTCAGTCAATCAAGTGGAATTTTTCACTTGCGGTCAGCCAACTTTGGAATTGCGCGTCGGTTCGCGTTGCGAGAAAAATAGTAATAAACGCGTTAGAAATTAATAGTAAAAGTGCATTTTCATATATTTTGTGATATTTAAAATTATGTGTTAGAGTTGTGCAAATTAAACAAAGTCAAAATTGTGTTAAAGCAAATAAAATAGTGTGCATAGTTACATATTTATTTGTATTTCTTATTAAATATTGTTTTTAATGGTGCTAAGATTGAAGTGTATGGAAATTGTGAAATATTAGTAATTTCTAGTGTTGTGAAAAGTTAGTGAATTATTTTCTATTTCAATATAGTTGTTTGCATATGTACGTAAAATGTCGTGAGGTCATGCGTTCGTTCTTTCGATGTTCGTCTGTTGCCGATTTTTAATTAACCAACATGGCCGTTCGTATAAACAAACAAACAACAGCAATGAAGGAGAGTAATAGTTTTCTATTGTATATTTTAAAGGTGAGTACAGAGTGTTTTTATATCAATAACTTTATATTTTTTTAAGTAAATTTAAAAGTTTAAAGAATGAAGCATATTTTTGAAAATATAATTTTTTCAAACTAGTAGCGCACTTAATATTTTTTATTTATTTTAAGAATTAATTAAATTAAAATTAAATTAGGGGAAAACATTAGTATAGCGGCACCCGAATTCGTGGAAAAAATGGCCGTATAGTGAATATTCTCATGAATAAGAATATACATTGTGCGACGAAACTAAAGCACGGAATCGACCTTGCCGATATATAAAGAATATAAACCTAAAGTAACGCTGAAAGCTTGTTTTTGTATTCTTAGAGAAAAACTCCAAAAATTTGGTGCGATAAAACTAAAGCACGAAATGGTTTTATGATTGAACAATTTATGTCTTTTAATATTTGATTGAGTGTCCCATATTTTTCAATACATTGTTTTTTTTTTTTTTTGATAAAACTTTAAAAATATTTTTGATATACTCGATATCAAGAAAGAACTCTAATACTCTAATAAATACTAAATTTTAAATTTCACTTTATGTGCGCCTGTTAAGAGGTTATATACAGTTGATAGGCCGAAAAAACGAATTTTCCAGAATTTTTTCTGGGAAAACGAAAATATATAGTACATATGTATATATCGGTGAAGAAAAAAACTGCGATTAATATAAAAAAAATATATTTTGAAAGCTCGTGACAAGTTTTAAGACTAATTGGTTAAGTCGTTTTCGAGTAATGTTGCTCATCGACTTTAAAAACACCTGTTTGCGAAAAACGCGTTTAAAGTTTGGCCTTGTACTTCCAAGAACTCTAAAACGCATTTTCAAACTTGCGCGTAACTTCAATGTAACCCCTGAAGTGCTAGGGAACTATATGCTGTAAGGCGTTGTTGAGTAAATTTCATTTGGCTTGAAGATGTGGCTCTGTTGAGAGTTTGCCATCTTTATCATTTTCTCTAGAGCTTGATACCTTCATTAGAACGGATGTATCCAATCTGCACCATTTGCTTGTTAGATTTAAGTGGCTGAAAGTGGTTTATTGTTGTTAAAGAAGAGTGTTTTTTTTTTTTAGATATAAGAATACGTGTGTTAGATTTCTGAAATTTGACTAATTTTTCCTCAGTAATATAAATAAAAGCGGTCAAAACGAAACTCCACCTTGGCAGCAACATCTTAATGATAGGTACAATTTTAAACCAAAACTTGTCTAACTACAAAAAAAAAAAAAAATAATAAAAATAAAATAAGTTGACCAACTTAAACTGAGGTCAATGTTCTTAGTTTTCAAAACTGTAAGATAATAAAATACCAATTTTATAATAGCAAATATTAATAACTTTGAATTATAGAAAACGGTGTGATATTAGATTCGATTGAAAAACGAAGGCATGTCCTGCTTAATTTCCAACATTAACATTTTATGCGTCTCATCATTATCAGTGATATAACTACGAACAAAGCATATTCTGAGTTTAATTATATGTTCCTGTTTTGCTAAAGCTTTCACTAACTGTAATTATAAGCGTGTAACGGATGTCTAAATGTTTTTGTGCAACTTCTGCTTGCATGCCTGAATCATATTAGTATTAATATTAAATACAGTAAGCAATATTAATTACAAGCATCACCGCATTCTTTCCACGCGCCAACAAAGTCAGCTGAGGCATTTGAGCTTAAATTCATTATGTTTTCATTGCTTAGCGATTAATGCTCATGCAGTTTTGATGACCTTATGAAATAATCATCCATCATAATAACGTAGAGAAAGTTTGCGAAAAAAGAAAGAGATGAATAAAACTTGTCTGTCCAGCGACAAGCACTCAAGCATTACAAAAAGAAATGTATTTTTCCAACAAACAAGCACAAATTAAAGATATGCTTTTATGCTGCATACATATATGTGTGTGTACCTTGCGAAGTGTAGATCAAATCACGCGAACAGTCTGATGAAGAAATATTCTCGTTTATTTTAGTCGAAACACACAGTTCAGTGGTGAAATGCGTCGCAGCGAAAGCGCGTTAGCCGCAAACCATAATAACCACAAGGTAACCACAAGGAATGTGGAAGGTATCGAACCAATAACAAATAAGGATGTACTAATTTGCGCGGATTCGAATATGTAATTATTTTAGGGAATAGGGCGATTATAAATAATTTGGTCTCGGAAATCTAATGGGAGCTGCTTTCAAAATGTTCTAGTTATAAATTTGGTCTTCGAAAAGAGATGATAAGATGAGTGATACCCTCATCTCAATTATTTGTTTTAATATAACTAAAACAGATAAAATAAAATATATACTATATAAGATAAATACATACTCTTTTCAATTAACTATAAAAACGAAATTATCTAATACCGCCTATAGGGTTTGGGGAAGCTATATAGCGAAAACAATTAGCCCTATATGGTGCCTAAAGGACGTTATGGTTAAAAATTTTATTATGATTTCTTTCTTTTTCTGAAGGACAGACTCTTCAGATTCTTCACAGATTCTTCTCTCATAATATTTGATTTGTGGTAATACTGTTATACTCGTTATTGTTGTAATTGAGATGTGAGTATAAATATGCTATTCGAAAAATTCGAGGAATCTATCGATAAAAGGGCAAAATTTCAAAAAA